AAATCTGCCAAGTGAACAATAGCTCTGCACTTGTACAGATATGAAGAATCTGCCAAGTGAACAATAGCTCCCACTTGTACAGATATGAAGAATCTGCCAAGTGAACAATAGCTCCTCACTTGTACAGATAAGAAAAATCTTCCAAGTGAACAATAGCTCCCCACTTGTACAGATATGAAGAATCTGCCAAGTGAACAATAGCTCCTCACTTGTACAGATAAGAAAAATCTGCCAAGTGAACAATGGCTCCCCACTTGTACGGATATGAAAAATCTGCCAATTGAACAATGGCTCCCCACTTGTACGGATATGAAAAATCTGCCAAGTGAACAATAGCTCCCACTTGTACAGATATGAAGAATCTGCCAAGTGAACAATAGCTCCTCACTTGTACAGATAAGAAAAATCTGCCAAGTGAACAATAGCTCCTCACTTGTACAGGTATGAATATGCCAAGTGAACAATAGCTCCCACTTGTACAGATATGAAGAATAGGCCAAGTGAACAATAGCTCCTCACTTGTACAGGTATGAATATGCCAAGTGAACAATAGCTCCCACTTGTACAGATATGAAGAATAGGCCAAGTGAACAATAGCTCCCACTTGTACAGATATGAAGAATCTGCCAAGTGAACAATAGCTCCTCACTTGTACAGATATGAAGACACTTGTATAGATAGAAAGTTTCAGTTTCAATAAATAACATTTTGAGCTTGCTTAAACCCTAAAGACACACACTAAACTTTGAGGTGTCCATTTATTTTAAATCTCCTGCCTTAAGATAGATTGAGCTGAATTTAAGCTTCTATCTAATGAGCCTGCATAAATGATATATATGATAGTGTTGTATATATTAATAAAATTTAATTAGAAATCAAATTTGATTTCTGCCTCAAATTAATATTTCTCGCATCGCAAGTTTTCTTTATAATATAGAATAACATAACAAAATAGTATATGACATATGAATTTTATTCAGTACAATGGCCTCAGGCCTAGGTACAATAAATCAAAAATAGAAAAAAAAATACATAAAGAGGAATTCTTTAAATAATTGTTGAATCTAATAGTCACAACTGGTTAAGTAGATTTTCTCTGTGTTTATAAGCGTAGAATACAAATTTCTAAATTTGAAGTACAGATAAGTTGTCAAACTGCATTAAACAAAGAAAAAAGTTTGATTTGACTGATTAAATATAGGTAAATATTTTTTCTAAGATTTTTATAATGTGGACATACAAGACAAAAATGGTATTCATCCTCAACCAACCCTAGATTACATAATTTACAGATTCTCATATTCCTCAGTCATGTTTAATTTACGATCAGATTCAATCCGAAGGTTGTGGGATGATGTTCTTAGCTGACATAGCGCAAAACCTAACTTGTTATCTTTATTTAAATGCAAATATTTTTCACATCCAAAATTGATTTTAAAATCTCTGTATTTATCAAGTTTAGGATAGTTGTTGAGATCTGTAAACCAGTTTGTTTATACATATCATGACTCTTTG